TTCGAGAAAGAACCATTTCAAATGCAAGAAGAACTTAGGAGTCGCTGTTGAGGGGCTCCTAAGCTTTTTCAAAGCGACTACATGCGAAAAGCGACCTCAACATGAGGAGAGGCTCGACAAAAATCATTCTGATGCATGACAACACTCGGCGTCACGTTGGCAAACCACGTTAAAACCTACCTGGAAACGCTTAAATGGGTAGTCCTACCCGACCCCCCAGGTATTCCCCAGGTATTGCACCGTCCGATTGTTATTTGTTCCGTGCAATGGCACTTGGTCTGGCTCAGAAACAGTTCCACTAACAATCCGACATCGAGAAATGGCTTGATTTATGATGATAGCATCACGAGATTAACAGTTTTACCGTAAGGATATTCGAGCTTTGAAAGATGGAAAAAGTTGTGACTAGCGATGGGCAATACTTCGAATAATTTATTTGTTACAATTTTCTTACAATAAAATTGCAATTTCAAAAAGTCAGGAAGGGCTAAGTTAGGGTGTCACCGAACATTTTATACTCTCGCATGACAAGTTTCATCAAGATATCTCAATTTTTACTCAAGTTACAGCTGGCACGGACGGATAGACATATCGTCACCCTGATCACTTTGGTATATATAACCCTATAAAAATTAGTTTCCTTATAACAAATAGTATAAAAGTTAAAATTATTTCCTTACAAAACTTCTCATTTATGGAATATTATGTCCTATTCTATATAGTATATTTTAATTTTTAGAAAGTTATTTTAATATTTAGTTTTTAAAAAATTGAATAGCGGCAATTGCAAAAATACCGCAAAACAACAAAAAACACAGGTGCATTTCTTTTAATAACTATGTGTTGAGTTTGTATGGAAGAAATATGCTATAGTAATCCGATCTGAACAATTTTTTCGGAGATTATATTGTAACCTTAAGCAGTAATCCATGTTAAATTTCGTAAAGATACGAAATATATGGTACAGCTGCCGATAGTGAGCCGATCTGAACAATTACTTCACATATTACATTATTATCTTAGAAAATAACGTGTGCCAACTTTTGTGAAGATACATTGCCAAATGTGAAAGTTTTCCAAACAGGCCTTTGATTCCGATCGTTCAGTGTTTGTATGGCAGCTATATGTTATAGTAGTCCGATATCGCCAGTTCCCACAAAACAGCAGCTTCTTGAAGAGAAAATGACGTATGCAAAATGTCAAGAAGATATAGTAAAAACCGAGGGACTAATTCATATATAAGTTAGCACCCTACACATCCAAAATATCATATGATGCATTAATATCATATGATACAAAGTAATATAATATGACAGCACTAAATCGCTGAGAGTGCGACACGTGTAGTGGCAACCTGGGAAAGTGCAGCGTCAGCAAACTTCATACCGACAGACAGACGGACATGGCTAAATCGACTCAGCTAAACATACTGATCATTTGTATACATATATACATATGTACTTTATAGGGGCTTCCTTCTGGGTGTTACAAACTGCGTGGCAAACTTAATATACCCGGTTCAGGGTATAAGAAGGTTTGCGTAGCCACGAGTGTAAATACATTGTGACAAAAGTGTGAACGGATATTGAATTTTAAATTCCTCAAACGCGATTTGTCAACCAGTTTGTATACAGCAGCTGCATAAGTCGGTATACCTCAGAAATGCGTTGCGATTTTTACAATGGATAAAAAAAAAATTGTTTACAATGGACAAAGAATATATCTTAGATTTTGTATTTCTAACCAAATTCGTGGGCGGAATTTTTGTGAATGTTGGAAAAGGCTTGCAGTGATTCAGTTTTCTCAAAAACACAAGCCTACGAGTGGTACAAAACCGTAAAAGACGGCGGAAAGATTATGCCTCGTTCTGGACGCCCTCGACATCTTTAACCGATGAAAATATTAAAAAGGTGAAGAATATGGTGCTTGAAAATCGGCAGGCAAGTGTTGAAGAAATGGCAAGAGAGTTAGATGACTCTTGCCACTCCGTTCGAATGATTTTTGCAAATATTTTGAGTATGAAACGCGTTCTTGCTCTATTCGTCCCGATAGAGCTGAATTTTCTTCAAAAAGCGTACCGTAAACAGGTCTCTTTGGACATGCTTGAGGGAGTTCTATTTGCCACATTGAGGCATTTGCTTGAGAACATGCGTAGTCCATCCGTAGTATTTAAATCAAACAAATATGCTTATTGTTGCTGAAAGAAAGAAATGTTCCTGTAAAGAGTATTATATCTTTTGTGCAACCGAAGTTAAAATTTGGTCATGTTATAACGAAATTGCCATTGGAACACTCTGCAGATATATTTCATAAAATATTATATTTCCTTCTGAATTGTACAACAATATGCATAAATGCCTAAACTTCACAGTATTTTAAGGTCAATCAAGTTAAGTGGGGAATACTTCAATGTAAATTCCTTTATACAAAAACTGCAAATAAAAAAATAAATAAGAAACCTTGATGTCGTCAATAATGCCATAATTGATACTTAATAATATACTCATAACACTATCGACATACATATCTACATACCATACCTACGGATGGATATTTTCACAACACCCACTCGTGAACCATTCACAGTGAAAACTTAAATTTCATTGCCAAAAAAGAGTGCTTTTAAGTTGAAGATAAGTACCTACACATACGATTGTACTTCTGTTTACATTTTGTGCAAAATAAAGCGGTTGTTATTGAATCTATTACCGTTACACTTGATATCATATGTAGCTAACAGTTGACCCACTTTTATGATGAATGTAAAGAAACCGAAATTGTAAAAAAGAAAGGAGGCTGTAATAATGGTAGCAATGACGTAGCAAATACCTTTTTTTTCATTATACTTTTACTAACTGCTTACGAAGCTGTAGATATTAGATATTTATTTATCCACACGCAAGTTGTTAAACTACCTGTGATATGACGGAGCATTATTTTCAATTTTTTTTTTATATTATCCAAATTTCTTTATTAAGTAATATTATAAAACTGAACTGTACATTGGCACTTAAAAACACCATATTATTATTATATAATATTTCCACTTACATAATTCCACAATGACAACAATTAGAATATCACAGTTTTTTTTAATACGAAAACACAGTAAAAAAACAATATTATTTTTACACACGACTTCAAACTCAAAATTTTGAGGAAAATAGTAGAGTAGGACCTTTGATACCACTAAAATTGTGACTAATTAAATTTACAGATAAATGATATTTCAAAACCATGTATTTTACTAAGTTGGTAGAACTGTCCTTAATTAATATGCCAAATATGAGGGCGATCTGTCAACCAGTTTGTTTACAGCAGCTGCTTAAGCGTTGCGATTTCTACAACAACTTTCGACCTCTTCAACTAATGAAAATATTCAAAAAGAGATCAAAATGGCGCTTGAAAATTGTCAGACAAGTATTAGAAAGATGGCAGGAATGATTTCGCTGAATAGTTTGAATACAAAACGCGTTCTTGCTCGACTCGTCTCAATAAAGGAGATTTTATAAACAGGTATTTTTGGACATACTTGATCGTGCGAATTCCAATTCGATATCCACGAAGAGCACTTTAGCTGCCGATGAGACATGTGTTTATAACTTTAACATGCAAACAAATAAACAGTCATCGGAATGGAGGGAAAAAACGAGCCGAAACCAAAAAACCACACCTAATCCGCTCAAAAATCAAGGTCATGCTCATATTTTTTTTTTCGATTTTCGATGCACCGTATAGAGGCGTTTGCGTGAGAACATCCGTCGGAAATTGCCGGAATTGTAGAACAGTTCATGAATTTTAGAATGTGATAATGCACCATCGTGTATCGAGCCATGATTGTGACGGACTTTAAATCCAAAAACGCAATGAATACCAGAGGTCAACCACGGCATTCACCTAATTTTGTTCCGTGTGATTCTGTCTTGTTCTCCAACAACCTAGAACAAACTTAGCTCCTTTGTGCTGGTCGTAAGTGAGCTCGTTGAGAAAAATACACTCTTAACGAAAAAAAAAATTCTTTCTTCCTTTTTCTCAAGAGAGTCGGACACCTCTGCTATTTTATTGTTTTAGATTAGAGTTCTTACGGAGAGCGCCAGGTCCTAAGCATGGATCGCATGACACCTTTATCCAGTCCATTATTACAGCAAAGACTTCATCATTGAAGACTCGCTATTGAGTAGTTTTAAATAGCCTCTTTCAATAAATCACCCATGAATCATATCAAATTGTCATAATGTTTTTTTCAGTATTGTGTGGCAATTCATCATAAAGACTGAGAGTGTACACGAAGGCGTACTAAATACCTATTTTACAAGAACTAGAGAAGCACGACCTTTTCAAGCGACATAACTCTAGAGAAGATCCAAGAAGATCTGATGTTTTCGAGACAAATTTGGTCCAGCGATGAGGCTCATTTCTGGCTCAATGGGTATTGTGAACAAGCAAATAGTTTGATATCTCACTGCTGGAGTTTTTCCTCTGGGTATATGTAAAGGCTATAGCTATGCAGATAATCCCGCTTCGAATCAAGCCTTGGAGCAAAACATCACGCATGTCATTCGCCAGTTACCAGTCGAAATACTCCAACGAGTTATAGAAAATTAGACTCAATGGATGGACTAACTAATACGCGGCTTACATTTGAAAGAGATAATTTTCAAAGAATGTTCTTTCGAATGATAATAAATATTCCGGATTAAAAATGAAAAAAAATATTGCCAGTTAAATTTTACTATAATCAACTTTTTATATCAAAAACCGCAAAACACAAAACAAATTCGAAAACAATTCTACCAAATTCCTTAAAAATTAAAACTTTAATCGCAATTCTTATTTTCAAAACACTTTTCAGAATTAATAAAAAGTCTATTTCAATTTGTATAAAATTTTGATTAAAATATTTTTTCAATTCCGTTTTAGATAAGAAACATATGCTCCCAAATATTAGTCGCCTTAAAAATATTTTGCACACCTATTTCTTTATAAAACAAATTCCACTTTCAACACATTATTGGCACAAATTTTCCAAATCGGGCACATCAATTAATCACTTTTGTTCCCAGTAACCCAAATTTCCACCACACCTTTTGCAAATCACTTTGTTGCCACTTTGTCGCCGTTCAATGGCCCGTTTGTATAGACACTTGAAGGGAAATATGGGCAGACAACTAAAACAAATAAAAAAAAAAGTATTTCTCAGAACTTTTTCACTAAATCTCACAACACATTCATTACCAGTAGAGTAAGCGATCATAACTGATGGTGTCCATATGTAAACGCTGTTCACAGTCCGGACAGTACATTTGTCGCAGACAGCTCAAATCTGTGGGCGAACGATAGGCGTTGGGCACAAATTCAATGCTGCCACCAAAAATGCTATGTAGCTCATTTGAGGTCGTGAGCGACAGACCCTGTTTATAGGGTATTGTGCTGTTAGTAGCTGTGCTACGATCCTTAAAGCGGAATAAGCTCATGTTGCTGTTATAACTGGCACCCTTCTCGAGGAGTTTTGAATTTGTTGTATTCAATTTGATTTCGACGAAGTCCTTATTTACGGGCATAATGCACAGTAATTTTTTAATTTAAAAAAATTTCATTAACTGCAATAAAATGGAGACTTGTTGTTGGCAGCTTTCGAATGTAACTGATCTGCATAAATATTCAACGGCACAGCTGAACTTGTTTGAAAGCGTTGAGCTTTTAGTAGAAAGCTACAAATATTTTTGGTCCAGCGAGATGACATGCGGCGTTGTATTGCTGAGGAGCACAAATGCTTACTCACTCAATGTTAGCGGATAGTGAGTGGAGTTTGAGTAGAGTGAAGTCAAATGCAGTGGAGTCACATAGAAAGACACTATTGTAAATTTTAATTATTACCCTCGTGCTCTTGAAATAGTTTCTGAGTTGCATTTGTCATTGATATCAGTTGCTTACTGCTGAGATTATTCCTCTTGAGAGCAGCAATTGTTATACAAATTAGAGACATGTGATTACTGTGGTTAGATTAACTTAGTTGGCCCCTCTTTACGAAAAGTGATGTAAAAAATGGGTGAAAGCGCCCATATGTGAACACTGGCGGGACCAGCCTATATGTACGGTTAATAGAGTTATCCGCTTAATAGAGCGTCCGTTTAACAGATCTTTTACTAAATTTAATTTTAAAGGCTAATCCATTGTTCCTATAATTTAAAGCGACTCTAACTTCATCAATCTGAATTAAGTATTCATAGAAACAACTTAAATATTAATTATTTGATAGACCCTGATACACAAGGTACAATAAATTAAATTTTCTTTTTATATAAAAATTTTTCAAAATATTTCAG